TACTTCAAATACCCCAGTTGTTGAATGTTCATGTGCACCAAATGCATATTCCACCCCATGAACTGCAACAAAGAAAAAACTGAGGAATGTATCAAAAAAATATTAAAAAAAACACAGAAAATCAAACAGTCGAGGGAAATTCATCCCAAAAGAAAAATATTGGCTTCAAGTAGCATAACAGATCAAAAGAAGAAGCGACAGGAAGTCATCGGAAACAGAACCTCCTATTGCATGTTACCAGAAATTTACTTAATTTAATTCGAATTTTCCACCAGAAATGTATGTATATCATCTTCCTCTTTTTCCAGAAATGTATGGTACCCACCGGTTTTGTACGGGAGTAGAAATTTGAAAATTTTGAGTGACGTTTTAGATTGCTGGAAAAAGAAAATATAGATTTGAGTTACTTGTCTTTCTTTCTTGACATGTTGTGAGAATTGCTATTAGTGGCAAATTCGCTGAATGTTATTGTCAGCAGCTAAAACTCAATGGAAGGTTGGGGTTAAAAATCCACTAGCACTAGGACTTGTGTTTGGTAAAATTTCAAGAAAACAAACGCTGCCTTTTTTCAGTGACACCAAGTAGATAGCAAGCAATGCTAATTGTAAGACAGCCAGCCCATTCGCAACTTTGCTTATAATGACAAGGGATAAAAAGGAAGCAGTTTTAGATGGAATACGAAGCGTAAGACGAAGCAACCAAATAATTCCGCAACAAAATTTTAGGTTAGTTTACATGTTGAAACATCACAAGAAGGCACCAACTTTTTCCCCTCTTGAATCGGTTCGTAGTTTGAGTAATTTAAGCAAATCAAACAAAAAACAAAACTGAAAAAAAGAACCCAAAATGCAAAACAAATAGTAGTAGTAGTAGAAGTGGAAGAAAAGAGCAAAAGGGGAGAAGAAGAAAGGTAAGTGTTAGATCCGTTATCCAGATAAAAAAAAAAAAAGGAAGGAGAGATAAAGGGGGGAACCTTGAACACCGGAGTGGTAGACGCCGAGGCCGAGCCAGTAAGCGTAGCCATTCATAGCGGTGAGATCGTATACATTGAGGTAAACGGGGGCTGTAGTAGCACCCTTCTTCCTCTTCTTCCCTGATAACACTATCATGCTACACAACATTCTTCTTCTAATTCTGATGAGACACCGGTCGCTTCCTCTCCGTCTTTCTCTTCCCTTTTTTACCCTTTTCCCAATAATAAGATTGATCGCCAGGAAAATCAACCCCACTACCCAGTACTCCTCCCAGCAGCACCACCCCCCATCCCGGCCACCGCAAAACAAAAATGGTGGGTAGCAGCAGCCGTCGTCCTATTTCCTCTGAATGCTAGTACAACAACTATAGTAGGCAGCAGAAAGGAATGAATTACAGAAATAGGAATCCCTAGGAATTAGGAAAGTGGGAGCAGATTTATTGGGATTGTAAAAGAAGGAAGGGGTTGTAAATCTATAAGTGGGCCGGGAGTGGGAATGAAATTATGCAGTACAAGGAATTTTAAATAACTAATAAATAAATAAAGGGCAGGAGATATTATTAGACTTGAACTGGTTCGAACCAACCTCGATCAACCTTGGGTTTTGGACAGAGTGTTGTTTAAAATTTTATTTGGAATAATTAACGTGATACTTTTTGTGATGCAATGTACGTAAGATAAAAAAGTGATTGAAAATATAAAAAATTGATTAAAAAATATGTTTATGATATAAGTGAAAATATTATTTAGAAAAATGGGATATCCAAACAAATCCCTTATTTGTGTAGGTACCAATTCAAATCGAAACATAATATTAAGTTCGAAAATAGGTTCGAACCAAACTTGTTCAATTTTGTTTGTTTAGATATCAATTCAAACCCAAACATAATTTCAAGTTCGAAAATATTAATAAACCAATAACGATCTTCACGTACAAGGAATTTTAAATAATAAATAAATAAAGGAAGGAAGTATTACTCGACTCGAATCAGATTCATTCAAACTTATTTGTTTAGATATCAATCCAAATTCAAACATAATTTCAAGATTGAAAATATTAACAAACCAATCACGATTTTTACGTTATCCGACTCGACATGTTCAGGAACATATAAAACAAGTAAATTTCATAAGAATATATCTAATATTTCTTTCCTTAAATTCATTTCTTTCCTTCTCGTATATTGTTTATCTTATAAAATAACAAACATATAACATTCTTATCTCTTGAATAGGTATAATTAATTTTAATCATATCCGTAATTCGTCATAATAGATTTCTTGAATAAGTATAATTTACTTTAATCACATCCTAATTTATCATAATATATTTTTTGAATATTAGAGAGCAAAAATTAAGGAAAAATAACAAATTAGGGTGAAAAATTCTATATAATAATATATGAAATTTCAAACCAAACCAATCCAAATTTTGATTATATGTGCTTGACATCAGTACTAAGAAAAGTCAAGCCAAACTTCTGGTGAACATATATCACAAATTTCAATCCAAATTTGATCAATTTCTTTCAAAAAATTATCAAACACAAGTCAAGTTTAAACATTTCTTTTAATCTTCAAACTAATTATAAACATACTTCTATCCAACTCATTGAACCTTGTTTCTTTTTTTTTGCCGCAATGATAATATTCTTATAAACTAACCTATCATATTCTACAAGGAGCGGAAGCCTAAAGAGGTGTCCAACTCATTAAACCTTGTTTTTTTTTCTTTTTTTTTTGCCGCAATGATAACATTCAAGTCTAAAGAGGTTGGATAAGTAACTAGCAAGTATCCAGACTTTCACTACAAGTAAAGTTCGAACTCTCGACTTACAGTTCAAAGAGAGACTTAGACTCTGTTTGATAACCCAACTCAACATTTAAATTTAATGGATTCATATTTTAACATGTTCAAAAGCGTTGATAACCAAAAATTGAACATTTAAATTAATTAAGTAGCACTATATTTTCTAGGCAAAATTTGTTTCCAAAATTAAGTGATAAACTAAACTATTCACTTATCACTGAATGTGATACACACTCAAATATATTAGATTTAATAATTAACAATTTAATAACTTAATGGATTCGTATTTCAGATTTTACTTTTATCAAACACAGCTTTAGTCCCCTTTTTGGTAGCCACTGAGCCAAAATTCAATAATTTATAAGGAGAGAAAGATTAAAGAGATTGTATAAGGGACTAGCGGTATATGAGTCTGATTAGACCAACAAGTGTTTAGGCACCGAACCTTGTTTTCAACCCTAACTATAGTAGCATGCCTGGCATATGAGATGAGAATAGAAATTATAGTTGTAAATTAGCAGTACACTAGTACTTGTTAGTGGTAAAAGGTTAGCGGTATTAAATTCATCGTCCAACTACTTCTTTTTTCTCCTTTGGATAAAATTGTAACTTGAAAAAAAATACTATATCATTTACCTCCTTATTCGTTTCTTTCCTCCTTTAGCTAGTTTGGGAGTTTAGAATAGAAAAGAAAAGAAGAGAAATGATAAGTTAGAAAAGAAAGGAAATGATGAGAAAGAATCCGAGTTTTTGTCTAAGTTGTTTGGGAGTTTTAAGAAAAAAAATAAGGCAAGTGATTTTTTTTTTATTTGGGAGTTGAAGACAAATGAAAGAAAAGGTACTCAAACAAGTTAATTTACAGATATGCCCTTTCTTTAAACAAATGTGAATTAAGTAAGTTGATGGAAATTTGGTCGTTTGCATGAAAACTATAGAATAAAATATGTAAATTACTTATGCCAAAGACTTCAGATCACGTAGGTCCAATAGATACAAGTTAACAATTACTACAATAGAGTTATGTCAATAACTCTATATAGTTTCATTATCATTACATCATTAGAACTAGTAATGCCAATAGAGTTATGTTTACAACTTCCATATCAGTACATCCTGATACACAACAGTAGAATCCCAATTCCAGATCCTAAAGCCAAAAATATTAAGGGATCTACATAATTACAAAAGATATTTTGCATGCTTTTACATCTTGATACAAAAACTCAAAAAGCTTTTCTACATGCTTTTACATCCCGATGCAAAAAATATAACTAAAACATGTTTTATCTCCAAAAGACCAAAACAATGAGAATGTGTAGGTGTCAGCACAGCTCATTTTACATGTTGAATTGTGTTCCTATTTTCATCCAAAGGGGCTGAATGACGAAGACCATCCATCATTTTCCCAATATGCATTTGCATCAATTTTCCCAATATGCTCTTGCGCCTTTCTGCTGGACAACCAAAAAATGCTCTTGATTTAGCTTGGCTTTAAGTCAAAAGAGATAACAATCATTAATAGAGTCCACTTCAACTCCAATATTGGTTAGTTCCTTGTAAATCTCGTTTTCAATATACACGCATTCTTTAGAATTTTGAAAAATAAAATTTTCCTCTCTTATTGCATCAACAACATTATCAAGTGCACCTTTTATAATTTCAAGTTCTTCATAAAAAATGGGCAGATTTCTTTTTTTTTTTTTTTTCCTTGAACAGATGACGTATATTATACTAATTTTTTGTTGCAAGTTTTGAAAACTTTTATACCAGTATTTTTAGTTGTGTTGTCAAAACTCTCTATAGTGATCTAATTTTGAGAAAGAAGATAGTCGATGTCAATAAAACTTTCCAACTCAGTACCATTTGGTTCATTGGCCCATCTATTGTGTGTTTCTTTTGCTGTTTCAGCACCTTGTCCAGTACCTCGATTCTTAGCAAATAACTCTTATAATTTATCATAGTTATGGATTTGTTTTGTCTTTCATTTTTTCAGCATCCGATTTTTCCTAAATAAATAGGAGTATTGTTACAATAGGAATTGAAAATGAGCAAAAAAAAAAAAAACTAAATTTAAAGAGCACATACCTTTAAAAGTTGCTCCCAAACTTCAGGTTCAACAATCCAAGTTTTTGTCATAAGACTTCAAGAAAAGCCACTAAAATTTTCATTTCTAAACAAGTCATAACACTCATTGCAATGCAATTTAAGTGTCTTCATTCAATTCATCAAACGATCTTTGGTGAAATCCTTACCAAGTTTATCCTTCAATTCCTCGACAATGTTGTTATAAGCTGTTGTTGTGGATGTTCCATCAACTCGATACCCTTCATAGTGCTGATTCAATAATGATTGGATATAAGCATCATCCATGGATTGTGTCCATTTTAAGTGTTCTTTCTTAACTTCCTGATCTTTCTTCAAATCTTCACCCATTTCAAATGCTAAATGGTAATGATAAGATAGTAAGCACAATTAGTAGCAAATAAATATTTTAAACAATTGCAATATCTTGATAACATTGTGCATGCACCAAAACAAAACCTGAACATACCATTTAGTACATGTTAGGAAGTTTAGAGCTAAAACATATTCAGAAAGTTTACAGCACTAAATTCAATTTGATATTTGCAAGGCTATTTGATTTCCCAAAGATTTGCCTTGTGATGAATCTTCTTTAGTACTAGTAGATGCAATATTTCCATTCTCAACAGGAGATTGGTGCGCCAATTCTATATCTACTTCATCAATATATTCCAAAGCTGGATCTACTTCAATCAAAAAGTTGTGCAAAATACAACAAGCAAGAACAATTTTTGACTGCGTATTAACATCATACGTAGGTTGGTTATCACCTATGATTGGAAAGCATTTTTTCAAGACTCCAAATGCTCTCTCGATTGCATTATACAATGATGCTTACCAAAGATTGAAAAGTTCTCAATAATCTCGAAGCCCCTGATCGATTTGAGTACTCTTTTAAATAGTATGTAACCCCTCTATAAGGTGTAAGTAGTCCACTTTTTAATATGAATCCACCGTCAACAAAGTAAAATTTACCTATAAATACTTTAACAGATTACTAATTTATTCAATTATACATATAACAAATTTTAAAATTTAAAATTACCATTAGGAATAATTAATTTGTCTTCTCTATTAAGTGCATTTTTTATGATTCTCAAGTGTGATGCAATCCTTTCCTATCCAGGTAGAACATATGTGAATTTTAAATCAAAAGAGCATGTAACCAATATATTTTGTGTTGGATGCTCTTTCCTACCACGATACCTTGCTATCTCGGCATTGGACACCTTGACACGAACATGATTTCCATCAATTGCACCTACACAATCCTACATATATTTTAGTACATTAATTTTTAATAAGAGTTTGTATGTGAAGTTAAAAATTCAACCTATGTAAAAAATAAAATCACCTTGAAATATGGATAAAACCTCTCACTATTAAGGATTTCTAGTGGTACTTTTTCTCCCATAGGCTATCGTAGAAATTATTCTTCTAAGAATATAACTGTTTTAAGTATTTTATGAAAATGGCAGCTAATAGTTTCAAGTGAGCGATGGAAGTGATAAAATGTGAAGAAACTTAGCAACCTACTATAAGTTGCATCAATATTTCCTCTCGTACATTCTTACTTTCTACAGACTGGTACTTGATAGGTCGATCGACATAATTGCTACTACGAACCCTCCGAGACATAATCAATTTTGTCACTCGACAAATAACCTCAGCAGCAGCTAATTATCGACTTCTTAATTGAATATGAAACTTGTTTAGAACATCATTTGCTTCTTTATCCATCTAAATGTACTAATGTTAGTTGATTCATTCTATAATATTAAAAAAGTCACTGTCATCCATAATTTCACACCGTGACATACCTTATTATTTGCAAAAGCTTTACTCAAGAGCATGAAAGCAATGTAAAATATTTATATCCCATAATAGGGATTCGTGGCCAATTATAAAACATGATGATAATACTCTCCAACAGTCTGTGTGTACTATTTTCAAATAGATCACACCCTCATTTTCACATTAAAATGTAATATTCCTCATTTTGTGATTATGTTTTCACTCAATTTATGTAATCAACATCATGTATATTAATCAAAGTTTTTGTTCTTTGACATATTACTTTATTTCATTGATTTAGGACATAAGAATCCTTTGCAAAAATACATATATTTTATCAAAGGTATATCAAAGTCACAAATTTCTGTAACCCTAAAATCTAAAAAGTAGTATAAGAACTCGTGGAATTTCAATGCAGCCACAGAAACCCAAAAGATATAACAAATTATTATATAAATAAAGCTACTTTCTAGATACATAATTAATCTGTCTTCCCCATCAAAATGCAACATCTCAATAAAAAAATAGCTAAAGAAAATAACAATGAAATAGAGATATACTTGATTAAAAGCCTATTGAAGATGCTGAAGGATACAAATGGCCACCTGTTTCTCGGAGGGAGAAAACAATAGTTGCAAATGGCCACCTATTTCTCTGAGGAAGAAGACAATGGTTAGATAAATTGAAATGATGTGTTTTGGCGAGGATTTTGTAATAGAGGGATTCATTAGGGATTAAAATTTTTTGTATCAAGGTTTTAAGGGTAATATTGTCATATACGAAAACTTACTTAAAACTTCCGTGCTTGTCTTCCTTTTCCGCGCAACTTTAGGCGGAAGGTTTTCCAAAACATAAAGAGAAGTGAAATCTTTTCAAATATTTTCTTTTCCTTTCCATTTTTGCTCTCAAATAATGGAAAATGTTTATTATCCTTTTAAATTTTTTTTTTTTCATTTCCTTCCTCTCAAACTAGCTATAAAACTCAATCTAAAAGAAAAATCAAGTTCTACCAACTCTCTGCCTTTATTCTTCCTTCGATTTCCTCAATCGAAATAATGTCTGATTCATATTACTACTACAATCCAAATAAGAAAAAATCAAATTCCTCAAAAATTTTTCCTTTGATTCCTTGATTCCAAATGGTGCATAAGTCATAGTACTAGTAAGACCCAAATAAGAAAAATCAAATTCCTTCAATTTTTTTTTATTCAATTCCTTCATTCCAAATATTTCCTTAGTCATAGTACTATGTACGAAAAAAAAGCAATTTGACTGCCCCTCCCTCTTTTTCTATAAGTTGGAGGTTTTGAACCTAATATTTTACACTTATAATTTCTTTCGCTTTATCACTCAACCAACCCTCGCCTATAACTGGTGATATTGTCAGAATAGAAAATTTTCTGCCAGAGCAATTTTATAATGAAATACCCAAATTGCCCTCCTCTAAGTCAATAGCCAAAAGCAGTCCATTTGCTTAATGAACCCGCCAAACACCTTTGACCCATCCCTAGTCTCTTCTATCTTTTGACTGCCTATTTCCCGCTGCCTCCGACTCTCTATCGTTTTACTTTGTCTTATAACATCCATAATTTCGGTCCCGAAGATCCTCTTATATCTGAAAGTTGGTATTCATATATTCACGAATTTTTTTAATCTTCTTAGATGGCAAAACAAAACTAATAAATACGTGTTCTTGTTTTGCTTTTTCATTCATTGAACTGAACAAAGAATATGAAAGTTATTTATTTGGGGGTTATTTGATAGTACTAGTAATCACAGAAACCGATAATAGAGTGAAATTTTGGTATAAAAATTGTTACTTTGGTCTAAAATAAAAAAAAAAGGAGTTGGGGCCCTGGGACTGTAAACTGAGATTGTGCTCGGGTTTGATTAACAGTCCAGTTCATCTGTCAAGTTTTTCAATTAGGTTGGTATTGTAATTTATGTTGCTTGTGACGTAAAGATTGCTTTGACATAATCTACCAGCGGGTTATCATTCTTATCAATGTTGGAGCTGCAAAAAGTTGGCAATGGATTAATCACTTTAGAAACCAACAACTTTGGTTGTTCGCCATCACCAAAACTTTAAAGCTTGGTGGGATGCGAGGTTAAGAGTTCAAATCTTACCTTTCATCAATTGTGCACAATATGTGGTTTCTTCAAAAAAATATATACGAGTGATTAGTGCACCCGTGTGACCTAATAATGGTTCAATTCCCATCAATTCCCCCGTAGGATCTATTTGTGGGGCCGACAAAGGTAGATGAAATGTTAAAGTGATTGACTAATTAAGGGTAATCTAGGCACTTTGAACAAAATTACTTTGGCAAGAAATTGCTTTGACAGTATCGCTAACTCTCCCCCATTAATTGCCTTATTTGACACATAAGATCACGATAATTTTTTTTTGAATTTTTAACGGATGTTCAGTACTAGTTAGCGTACCTAAATTACACACAAATTACCATATAAATATATACAATCATAATTATTACATCTCTTACATTTAGATACTTTCATGAATTAACTATACACTTCCAAAAGAAAACTCTAAAACCTAAAAGTTTCTTTTAATGAATTTGGTTCTTTTTTCAAATTCACTACCCATCTTACTTAAAAAAATATGGATTTTCAAAAAATATTTAATAATAAGTTAAATTAGGTTATTTAGAATCAAAGATTAAAAAAAAAAAAAACTTCATTGACATTCTACATCCATTTCCTTATGAATTAAGTTTAATTGCATCTATATCCCTTGAGGTTTAGCCAAATTACGAAACCTACTCTCTAGTTTGGTCAAGCTACAGTTAACCTTGAATGGTAAAACATTTATCAAAGGCCCACTCGCAACAACTGCCGTAAGAGATACTGCTTATATCGGCAAAATATATACTTGAAAGCCCTAAAATATCATTTTGCAAATTGAGTTGATTATATTTCCCTCCGTTAGGTTTGTCCAAAACACATATACCTCTCACGAGGTTAGTCTGAATAACCTAATTAACCATGTAGTTTGTCCAGATTAGTCCAATAATTTAAACTAGTGCTTTTAGTACACTTTAGGTGTGTGCTTATTTCAAGAAAATGTATGATTATTTTTTTCATATTAAGTTACATATCATGGTAGACATATACGTATTTATCTGAAAAATTTAATTACTACTTTAGAGGAAGCTATTGTATTTAAATAATCATGGGGAAAAAGTGGAATTGTGAGGGAATTAGTGCGAGAAAGTTGTAATTTGATCTCAAAGGAATAACTCTTTGCTTATTGTGGGGTGTTTTTTTCGTTAATATATTAGGACTAATTTGCCCTTATACAATTAATGGTATATTAAAATTTTAAAAATGTGACACTATAAGTTTACACCATATAGTGTTGCTCTCCCTTTATATATTGTATAGATATCAAAATTTTTATTAAATAAACATTTTCAATAGTCAATTGCATAATTTGTATCAACTGAAACATAATTTTTCAAGAAATTCTCAAAATACCAATTAATTACTAATCATTCGTCCAACCATTCTTCTCTCCCTAAAAGTTCTAACTAATGTAATCAAAACTTCAACTTCATAGTATCAAACCTTTTCCTATCTCAATATGCAAATAATCAAATTCTCTTTAAAAAAAAAATCTATTCTAAATCCAACTCTAAGCATTAAATTTTGTACAAAGGCCTCCATTTAAAAATTAGAATTAAACCCAACAAGGACGCTTGTATAGAATTAAGAATAAAAGATTTAATGTATTATGGATAAAAGATCATAAAAGTCTGGCTAAGTTATGTTATCCTATCAAATTATATATCTAAATGTAATGAATGATGTTTCACGGAAAGAATGGGTTGAGAAAGTGTAGTCGTTGCTAGACAAATCGTGGGCAGAAGGGGAAAAAATAATGGAGAGAGAGAGAGAAGGGAAGAAAATTTCTTAATTTTTCTTTTATTTTTCATTTTTTTAATAGTTCGTAATTGTTTTCTTTCAGTTTAGGTTTCATTATTTCTTGGACATTATGGAAATTTCTTATGAACATTTAACTATTCAAAGGGTAAATTTGCTTTCTTTGGACAAACTACAAAACCTTTTTTTTTTTTTTTTTATTTGGGTAATTTGAACACACCTGAATGGAGGTAAATGTAGTTTTCTGAGGAGGGTTGGGTTGGGTTTGACGCTGTCACTCACAGCGTGGTAAATGTAATTTGATTAAACCTCAAAGGTGATGGACGTAATTAACCCTATGAATTATGATGGTGAAATAATTATCATCAGAGAAAAAACAATGAAAATGATAAACTTGAAAAAAGTCTCTATTTTTGGCATTTCTCATGTAGGGGTGTCAATTGGACTTTTTGAGTGAGATTTTAATAAGTTCAAACTTGATGCATAATTTATATGAATTTTTGGGTTTTGATCTTTCGGATTTTGGGTTCATATTAAAAGCTCAAGGCTTAACTCAGACTATTATATGAGTTTTAGGTTCAAATCGAGTTTGGTTTAAATTCATAATTATATATAATATATATTTTATAATTATGAATTAATAAAAGTTTATATATATTATCATTTTATATCGTAATAAATATAATTATAAATTATAGATATTATTATATATATATT